GGTGTCAATCATAGAATTTACTGATAGTTACGATACTGTATAAGCGTTATAAGAGTAAACGACGTTTGATGTTTGATTGGAGAATGTGATGGTAGCGTTTTTTATTTCCTGAATATGGTTTGTAAAGCGGGTGAGGTAATTAGGTTTTTTTGAGGACGTAATGCCACAATAATTCAATGTAATCACCGTGTGCAGTCATTCTGTTGAAACTTGTACAATGCAAATCGTCAACGACTGTATCATCTACCACATGATTTGAATGCAAGCCATCGCACGCTAAAAAGCATATGATTACACATCAGATGCTAAAAAGTATACCAATACATGTCAATAATCGTACGATTAAATCCACAACAACGACCCTAACCGTAAACTGTTAACCATATTGCATTTAATGATTACTTTAACGCACAATTAGATTCGCACATTACAAAAAAGATAACATTTGAGTGTCATGGATCGTATGATAACTGCCGAGAACTAATAATTCGTCGCATAATGCGCTGTATATTGGTCTTGATTGATTTTTCATTCGTGTCAACACCCTCAATATTCGATTGGCTTTATAGTTACGTCATGCTAATAAAATAATACATGTTATGGTTCCAGCGCAGGAACCTGAACGCGAAATTTCAAATTGCCTTTACAGCGTAAATGATCCGGTAGCATATTTTCCGTCCTCTTTCTCTCCAATTCTTTACATTGTGGTGTGTCGTTAAAAATACGGCAGATCGGACACGTATCATTACTAATACTGATACTAAGGAATCTCATGCTTTAATTTAAGCGCATGACCTGTTGATTGTTACTATAAATACTAATCTGATGCTTTCTTCGTGCATGCATCGGCCCACTTTTACGTTATTGATTTGTTATAACAAGTTCCAAGATAGTACGCAGCTGGGCTATTAAAGTAAAAAATTTTTTTTCAAGTTAGTCAAATGCTCCCTTTAACTACCGAACTATAGGGAGAGATGTTAGACCTCTGTATAACAAAATAGAAGTAATTGCATGCATACAAACGTTTAAGCAGTTTATTGTTAATTAATACCATATTACGTAGGATAAGCACCTCCCTTCGATCATATGAAAATGATTGGCAATCATAAACTTAGGGGGGGGGGGGGGTTATCTGACAGTAACGAGGTTTTTATAAAAAGATTTTATAATATTATGTAATAAACTGTTTGTGGAGGAAGGGTTATGGCTAATTTTCTGGGAAATTTGATGGGTGCTTTTGCTAATAGTGGTAATCAAGGAGTGCTTATTCACGAGAGGATACGGTAGTAAAAAATAAGCAAGTAAAACAAACGCGAGAATATTAATGGCAAAAAAAAAAGAGAAACATTTAAATAATATAAACATGTGTATTTAAAATAATTGAACGCTCTATTAGACAAAACAAGTATTGTTATATGTAATAATAAGCTACGTAGACAAGTTTATCCTCGAAGTTATAGATAATATTAATATCGTAACCAAAATAAAAACGTTACAGTATTTATATACGATTATATTTAAGAGAATAAACGTCGATGCATACAAAGGTTATATTTCATTGTTATGATATTGCGCGGTTAAATAAATTTTTGTCTACGGTAGTGTTTTAGATTATCAATTATATACGTTTTAATAATTTCAGTAGAATCCATTTTTTTGAGTATCGTAAGAGTAATTTGCGTCCTCCTTTCTAAACTCGAGCAATTTGAGAAAAAATTACCAAGAATACGTCAACAATTTTTTAAAGAAAATATTTTAAAATATAATTTTGTAATTCGGGAAACATAAACATGCACACCTAAGCATAAAAAATTGCTCAATATTAATATAGTTTTCTACTATCAAATCAACGCTTTCGTAGTTTTGCGGGCAAGGTCAGAGTAAGTAAGAGTAAAAACCATGACAAAGTAAGCTGTAAGCGCTGTTATTGTATTTTAATACCAAGCCCAAGAGCAAAAATAACTTGATATTAAAAAAAAACATTATTATTTATTTAAACAACGTTTTTTCATTATTTATTGGCTGTCAATTTTAGAATATGATTAAAAGTTTGATAACAAATCTATGTATTTACCTACGTACTTTACGTCGGAATAAATTTACTCCATGTTTACGTGATATACTAATATACTGTAAATACAGCATTATTAATTCTTCAACTCGTGTAAGCATTTGCCTTGAAAAATATGCCAACATATTGACCAGAAGTAATAATGCTCTTGAAACAAACCACTAAAAGGTTGAAACCATTTTATGCCAATATTAAATATTTTAATTAAGTTTATCTTTTAAGAGCGCTTTTTTCTAAACAATTGTACACGGTAAAGTCTGGTTTAACGATGATGGTTTATAACGGGGGTGTTTTTTGGAATCGTTTTATTTATATAAAGCTCGTTTTAACAGGCCAGGCGATGGAGCATCATGTTAAACCGTGTACAGTAGAAAGTGTAACATTAGTACTCTATGATAAATTATTGCGAAAACGGGCTAAAATTCTTTCTTCAAGAATTTCGTGTTCTTCTTAATAATATACAGTATGTAGTAGATCACATCATATAAGTAAATTTATGCGAGTACAGATATATTATGCTCCACAAAAGCAATCTGATACAACAGTCCAAAACAACGTTACTGCATCATGTGAAAGAACATATGGCGGAGCGATCATAATCAGCCAAGCAAATTTATACTTTTATAGTAGCAGAATAGCCGCACTTATATACTATTGACGTCCTAAACAAGAAACGAAAGCCGATCCAAGACATTATATCAAGTTGATCTCTGCCATTGCCTTTTCTGGTTACTGAACCAGAAATGATAGCGACAATCCGAATACACGTGATATTGTAAATTAATTTAATTTCATGTATTTCTAAAACAAACCAAGTGACCGGTGGCGTGGCGTGATGGGACCATCCGTTCTACTAGAAAGAAGAAAATGTGCTTTGCTGCTTGACGTTAACCGGAACAGGGTTTTTGTGGGACATGATGATGTTGCTTCGGAGAAGAGTAGTATACTAGGATAAGAGGGTGCCAGAAGAGGGGGGTCAAAAATGAATTGAAGTATTTAATTGGTCATGAAGGAAGGAAAAAATTTTTTTTTCATGGGGGTCTTTTGGGCATGGTGTAAACTGAAAATTAGGTTTCTACAAAACTTTAAAGGGGAATTCTACTTTAAACGTCTCATATAACGTTCAATAACTTTCTTTATAAAGAAAATCTTTGTTATCCCTGCACTGCATGATAAATAAAATTGATTTACATGTTCTTGCCGGTTGTTGTGTGTGGGGGATGTTGCATTAGACAAGTTTGGTATGGTGTTTACTATGCATATATTTTAAGTTTAATAGATTATCAGTGAGAAGAGTTGTAATAAACTTTCCCATCGTGTCGCTTCCGATTGGCTAAGATAACTTGCGTGGGTATATTCTAGAAAATTAGGTCAGATATAGTTATATTTAGAGTTGCTATAAATATCAACTAGATCTTTTTCGTATCTTTTTCATCTTGGCAAAAGATGGGGCGTTTCAAACCAACCTCACGGTTATCATTTGTGCTGATCAACGATGATTGGGAATATCAATATATGTGGTATAACAACAAATACTATATATGAAACTGTATATCCCCTTTTTTTTGCTAATGCCGAATTGTGTGAGATGAGGGTCGTACACTGCAGTTACTTTGTTTCAAAAAGTGCAAAATTCTATTCCACGCACTGAATTTCACCTGATTTCAAAATGTGATTCTCATAATATACATATACTGTATAATCCCCCCGAACTTTGAAAACATCGCATTGCATCCATCGTTACATCTAAACCAAAAAATCCTATAAAAGCAACCCTGATACAGCCCAATTGTTTTTTTTTCTTGTTTCCATATTTTAAACCATCGCCCGACCCACCACCCGAAACCACTGACCTCCCCTTCACATCCCCGACATCAACCATGAAACATAACGTCGTTATCGCGATTCTTATCGTTCTACTTGCTGTGCTGTCTGTCAGTGCTCAGACAACGGCTGCAGCATCATCAGCAACAACAACGACAACAGCGTCGACAACAGCCACCGCAGCACGTAAGTAGTATAACTTGGAAGAAGTTTACATACATACATACATATATATATATAGGCGATACGTTAATGGAATACTAAATATGCCTCTCATCCTGTATTGCTACAGCTGACCCAATTGCTCAATGCATTGAACAACGGCAATGCGGAACTGATCAAAAATGCCGCGCTGAATGTGCCGGCGTTCCTGATCCTACAGATTCCCAAGCCAACGCAACAAATTACTGTGTTCAGATGTGTAATAGTAGTAAGTAAAGCAAGATTTCATTATAACGATACGCTGTCTGTCGTCATGAGATGCATTGCTATTACCTATCAATCTTAACTCTCGTCTCTTCTCTCCATTTAAGCTTCAACGGACGCTCAAGCCTACAAAGCCTGCCAAGACAAATGCATCGCCGATAATTATTTCACTTCCACTACCTATGGACCAACTAGTACTACCCCCGCTGGTACAGTTGTACCAACAGGTGCAAGTGCATCTAACACTGCGGCAGGCTCGACTGCTAGCAGCACTCCTTCGTCCGCACTTTCATCCTATAGAATGGAATCATTTGGAATTAACCTGTTTTCTGTTCTAATTTTATGGATTTGCTTTGCTGCGGGAGCCTGGAGCTTTTGAGCATTGTTTTATCCTCTGTTTCTCAAGCGACATTATCACTTATGTGTTTTATTAAAAGCAGACACACCAATGTATTACTATTAATAGAGACCGACCCTTTTTGATTTCTGTGAAATATTAATTCGATAATAAAGGTTTTTTGGAAACGCCCAATTTAATGAATAATGCCGAATAAGTAACAATCAGAGGAACAAACAATTATTTTACTCATGATACACAAATTTTCGGTCGGTTCACTCGTCGCATGAATAAATGAGCAAATCAATTGTGCATGTAATAATGCAGTTGACTGTAAATTTGTAAATTTCAAATGAGGAAGTTCTTATACATTTTTAATTTTTGAAAGTCGTCGTTGTTCACATTGTTCATTCATTTGTTCCCGCTGCAATATTATATAAACACTTGCGTAACTTTAAAATTATAATGAAACGAATGCCTAGAATTTTATGTATTACATGGTTGTATCGTTGTCTTTTGGGTATAAAATATTTCCTTTTTGTCTTATTTTAGCTATCTTTGTGAACGTTAAACAAGGCTTCTTCGCCCAAATGATTATCTCTTTTTTTTTTTTTTAAAGTTCATCCCTTATATCTGCATTATTGTTATGATGTCATCGATGAGTTAATCTGCTTACACAACAGTTCTTAAATTCAATTTACCCCACATGTTTGTTATTCCCGTTTGACAAACAACCCCCCCCTCTTGTAACTAAACCCCACATTCAATTGCAAGTAGAATGAATGGCCTTTGAAACGTAGCTTTTGGCGTAGGATACAACGTAGACGTACGCTCGGCTTCCCAATCACTTTTGCCTTGTTGTAATATGTATTGCGTGCATTAATTAGAGTAGCCAACAAAGCAAATGCATGAACTTTGTATCCGGGCCAATTCGATCACTTGCTGTTGTGACGTTAGAGGCATGTCCTGTCCTACTTAGGAGAATTCGACATAGGGCTGTCACGTTAAAAATGTCCGACTTATAAAACTTCAATGACATTCATGTGTCTTCATTGCGCAAATAACAAACGTCACATGTTTGAAATGTTTCCAAGAAGCGGACTAGTAAATATAAGATAAAGCATTCTTTCTTTTAAATACATTGCAACTTGACGTCATTGGGAATACGTTAAATGAGACCCGCGCCTTTCCTAATTCGTCTTAAAGGAACGGGAAATTTTGATCCAGATTTAGTTAATCAGACTAATTCTATTAATAACTTATAATTCAAAAAAATATAAAGTAAAATTTTTTGCCCAAAGTCGGGGAAAAAGGCATTGGGGAAATTCTTTTATGGTGTCTCTTTTTTTTTACTTTGCAAAGTATTTTCTAACGCGAGATAGCGATGGTATTTAAGTAATATATCATTCGCTCACGAAAAAAAGAATTCACGTTTGGCGAGGAATTCTGCTTTAAAAACATGTAAATATCTTGTCCTAAACCTTCCTAAACCTGCATGACCAATCTCACAATACGAGTACAGCATTATTCTCCTTCTGCTCTTGAAAATTGTCTGGTTACGAGAGGAGATAAATTGATGTCAAGCCTGCCTGATGATTTTTGTCATAAATCGATTTTTCTTCATTGTCTTCCAACAAGTGATCGATACTTGCTGCACACACGGTAATGAAATAAGTGTCATCAGTCCAGGAACCCCTTCTCACTAAACCCAATAATACCATCGAAACGCGGAGCAATCTAAAAGTTTAGCCGTGATCATGATAAACGTTGTTAAAAATACACCTGTAACAAAGTGTACTGAACGATTAAGACCTGTTGTCAGACTTGTTTTCGCTTTACAAACGGTGATCATCGCAAATTTATTAAAATATCAAGACAATGTTAAAATAGCTTTTATGATAGGGTAAGCGTTCAGATTACGCTCGCCTTCAATTCTAGTCCGTGTTTCCAATATTTGATAAAAACTTATATTCCGGCCATAATCCCCAAACATGCCAACTGCTTAAACAGAATCATCGACTGTTCCATCCGGCTTTTGAAACTTGAGACTGAGACTATTCACACAATGACGCTCATCGGCGGGGGTAAATTTCCATCCTTCGCCCTAAAATTATAAACGTTTATTGTAAAAAACAACCATAATGATTTTGAGATTCACAAGTCGGAACGTCGGTTGATTCGACTTTTGGGGGAACTTAAACTATACCTGGAACACGTGTCCAAGATGACCACCGCAATTGGAACATGTGATCTCAGTTCTCTTCATACCATGAGACGTGTCGACGTTACGACTGACGGCATCTGGTTAATGTATACAAGTATCATCAGCACGTGGAGAATAGCGTCAATGGATAACAAACAGGTAATCGATTATATTTACTTGGTAGAGCATCATAAAATGCAGGCCATCCACATCCTGAACTAAATTTATGTTCAGATTTGTACAGTTCAGCATTACAGGCACCGCACAAATACGTCCCTATGAGAATATTGAAAATAGTACGTATCAGTAATCAGACAATTTCCAACAAACATCTCTCTCTCTTTGCTTCAAAGACTAGAGAGAACGTACCGGTGTCCTTGTGTCGTTCATACTTTCCGGTCCCCGCCATTTCCGTTCCCTTCTCCCTCAAAATATGATACCTCTCTGGCGATAACTCTTGACGCCATTCTTCCTCTGTCTTTTGAACGTGCACGGTCGATTGAGTTTGATTGTTGTTTGTTGTTTGCGACGACATGCTCGAATGATGGCTGATTGAAAGTCGGTTAAGCGGTAAAAATTGTCGATTGTGTGATCGTTGTTATCGTGTTATAATCGCGCAAATTGAGGCGGCTCGCTCAGTTGGGATGAACGAGCTCTCTCAGTTATATACTGAGTTAACGGTCGATGATGGATATTTGTCATCTTGGATTAGTAAGTAATCGCAGATATGAATTTGGAAATGTGTCTATTCCTATGTGTGACGACTGATCGGCATGCTGCTCAACGCCACAGATTGTCCTACCTACCAAAAGGACGTGGTTGATAGAGAAAGTTTGATTACTAATTTGTCTATAACCGAATTAAGCAGACTTTCAAAACCCCATTGACCGCAGGTGGCAGATCGTGATATCACCATGCGTCTAATTGTACTGGTTTGCAAGAGTGAGACAGTATTCTTACCATTGCTTTGCTAAATCGGTTAGTGTCATGTCCGACTGGTATATTAATATAAAATGACATCACACTTGATATCGCATGGTGAGTATTTGAAATTAACGTAAGATCACTAATTGTTTAACACGAGCAATGTAGTCAAAGGCCTCGTCGAAAAGTCAAGTCTCAAGGTCGATATATGCGAACGCTTTTCTTTGAATATTTACTGGCGTAAACTTTATTTATCTTTCCCATAGACAAAGGTTTGGAAAGAGAAAGTTTTCTAACCGGTAAAGAAAAAGAAAATTATTTGCGTTTTTAGACACAGAACAACATCCAGCCCCATCATTATGCGTAAATAAATTTAATTCTATATTTAATGGTTATGATAGAACAGTATATACCGCAGAGGTACTTATGTTAGCTAATGTTATTATCAGTGTACTACAAAATTATTCGAAATTTTTACACTTAACATAAACACGTCTAGCACGCTACTACTAGATGAAGTTTGTCGAAAATGTGCCGGCTAATTGTAAAAAGAAATGTATATAAGAAAATGTCATAAAAATTAAGAATTTATAAAGGAGGAATCGCAGAACATTTCAAACAGTAACTCAGAGTGTGATGGAAAATAAAACAAATGATTACTTTCTTATTAACAAAACTGTGAAGCTTCAATTTCTAACAAACTATTTTGTAACTTTGGTTGCGGTTGCCAACGCAACAATTTTGTGACACATTGTACATATTGGACATTAAGTTATTGTTATCACGATTGTTAATAACACACGCTTACTTTGACGTCCTATCATAGGCCTTGTGACAACAACATATTAATACGCCGACGCTAAAGGTCATATCTGCAAATTTTGATGCTGTAATCCAATAGAAGACTTGGATTCAGCTAGTCGGTTACATAATAAGTTCATTTACGACATTAATGCAATATAATGACTTGTACTCTTTTTATTCACATCGATTAAATACATGTTATACAGAAATCAAAATAAACCAACCTGATTCAGTGCCGAACAAAGACCTCGAGACTCCAATTAATTCATATATCTCCTTAATATTTTCAGACATTAAAAAAACTCCTACAATTTTTAAGAAAAAATACGTTACATTAGAGATTGTATTGAGAGTTATTAAACAGTTATACATCAAATAAAATGCAGTTGTATCTTCTAATTTTTCAGTCAATGTAGACGCGATCCAACATAAGTGATGATGAAAACACAAAATGGAAATGTACCGAGTTTCTGGCTGAGGGACTGGCTCCTGAACTGAGATATACTTCCCGACTATGTTTTTAATACTGAGGTCGTTTGGACATAATAATAACCGAACGCTCGTCCCATAGCAAGCGTGAGGTTGAGGTCGTACACTGCAGTTCCTTTGTTTTGCAAGTTTCCATTTCACGAACTGACTTTCGCCTGATTTACCAAATGTGATTCTCATAATATATTCTCCGTGCGTTAGACATATTAAATATATCAATATCAACTTTGAAAATATTAAACCATTTTTGACTCGCATAAAAGCAACCCTGATGCAACCCGTTTTTTTCCCTACCATTCCCAGCCCACCGAAACCACTGATCTCTGACCTCCTCCTCACCCGATTCTTCTTTACATCAACCATGAAATATATCGTCTTTACCGCAATTCTTATCGTTCTACTTGCTGTGTTGTCTGTCAGCGCTCAGGAAACAACTATAACTGAACCTACTGGAGTATATAAGAGGGATGATAATCGTTTCGGAAATATAGCACTTAAAGTGATAACTACAGCATTGCCTATCGGAGTATATAAGGATAATTTCGGAAATATAGTATTTAAATCGACAACTCCAGCAGAACCAGCAGCAACAACATCGACAATTGGGACGACAACGACCACAGCACGTAAGTAGCAAGACTCGGGAGACGTTTATATATATAAGCGATACGTTGATAGAATACTGAATACGTCTCTTATCTTGTATCGTTTATAGCCGACCCAATTGCTCAATGCATTGAACAACGGCAATGCGGAAGTGATCAAAAATGTCGCGCTGAATGTGCCGGCGTTCCTGATCCAACCGATACCCAAGCCAACGCAACAAATTATTGTGTTGAGATGTGTAACAGTAGTAAGTAAAGCAAGATTTCGTCATAACGTTACGCTGTCGTCATGAGTGCATTGCGGCCATAATATTACCTACCAAACTTAATTCTCGTCTCTTCTTTCTATTTAAGCTTCGACGGACCCTCAAGCCTACAAAAATTGCCAAGATAACTGTATCACCAGTAACTATCTCGCCTCTGCTACTTTACCAACTGGTACTAGCGCCACTGGTACCACCACGAGTGGATCACCAGCATCTCCGAGTGCAACTAATAGTGCGGCAAACTCGACCGCTGACAGCACTCCTTCGTCCGCACTTTCATCCCATAGAATGGAATCACTTGGAATTAACTTATTTTCAGTCCTGATTTTGTGGATTTGTTTTGCTGCGGGAGCCTGGAGTTTTTGAGCATTGGTTTCTCAAACAAAACACACCAACGTATTACTATTACATACGTAACATAGACTGTCCTGTGAAATATTAATTTTGGGAAACACCAAATTTATTACAATAATGCCGCATAAGTTCGACACAATCAAAGAACCAACAATTATTTTCCTCACGATAAACAACCATTATGCGTGCAACTATAAGCTCGTAGTAAACGTTTCGTCAAACCCAAAACTTGCTTTCCGCCAATTGATTTCTCTTATACGTACATATTTAATTCTGGAAGCATTGCATTCTCCATACTCTCGCTGTCCACGTCGTTCATTCATTTGTTCCCACTGATTCAATATTTAAACATTTGCGTAAACGGTTACAATACATCCAAGAATGCCAAGCAAAAGTAAAAATTATAGTCCCAAACTGAACAGATTTTATTACATGTTGATTGTAAAAACTAATATCGAAATGACTAATATTGCATGGTTATATCGTTGTCTCCCAGGTATAAAATCCAATATTTACCAGTCAAATATATTTCCTTTTGTCTTATTTTATCTTTCTTTGAATCTTTCTTTTAGAGTTATCTGCATTATTATTATGATGTCAAATGACAAAATGAAAAATGGACGGGACAGCTAATTTATGTTGTTGAACTGAGATAGGTCTCAAATTCTGTCGCAACACGATATGCAAAAGTTTTTCGAAATTTAGCAAGTACACCAAATATAATATAGATACTCGCAGTCACCTGAGATTTATTTCTACTATTACTATAGTATTATCTTTGCCCTTTCTATAACACGAAATATAAATATAGCTTCTTTTTTTTTTGCAAACCATCATCCCAAGACTGTATTCCCTAACGTTTTACAGTATATTTGGAAAGTGCGTTGTTATAAACCCCTATTATCCTATTTGGAATGCCGTCAAAAACATTTCCTCCACTTTTGCTGGAAAGATTGAGCTTATGCTTCATAAGAGCTGTCTGGACTTTTTCTGGGAGTTGTCTATGATCTTGTCACCACGTTTGGTGAGGTCTAATACTCCCTCGGCCAATGGAGAACCCACAGCGACATTTTTCAATTTGAGCTTTTTGAGAAGCTTTACGAGCTTCTCATATATTTCCCAAGCAGTCATTCAATTCGGTTCCTAAACTTTCAGGTAAACGTTAGTATTAGCATTTGAAGAGTCAATGAATAAACTGAAAAAATCGCTATTTACACAAACGTGAATTATTATTTGGGTTATTGTGGATCAGCTCCTTGTTAACCTTCGGTTCGCTGAAGCAAAAAAGTTTCTTGTCGGTTATGCATGATAGGTCAACATTCATTTCTTGCAAATTTTTACCTCTTTTTTTTTATTATTTTTCGGAGGACATTGGGATGTAATGAGCACCTGACAATATTATAAACATTAACGATTAGTATTAGAATTATACTAGAACGACAAAGTTTTAATGCTGATACTACTTTTAGATTTTGCTGAACGTAATAATAATACAGATGTTTAAAACCAGTGAGTTAAGATACCGACGCTCACCCCAATGAAACAATGGTCCCATAGCAGAGCGTATACGCCGGCGACCAAACTCATTTTTTCGTGCACATACTGGTTTCAGTTATTTACTTAGGTACGGGCCCGTCCTCTCCGATTATGATACTTCTACTACCACGTATGCAGTGGTACGTGTATAATTAGAGTCTATTATAGACTCCAATTATACCACTTAGTTCGGACTATAACTATCCCATGTGTCATAATCTAATTTTTATGACACGGACTAAG